CATTCCTGGTCTTCGAGATCCCATTCCGGGGACAGTTTATATGGGTTATTGTGCTGACACTACTCCAGGGGTCGTGTGGAATGGCTTTCGGTCTAATGATATCTGCAATTTGTGAAGAGGAGAACTCAGCGACAATGTTGGCTTTGGGCTCATTCTACCCCAATCTGCTACTTGTAATTCAATTTTTGATACTAGCAACTTTTTTCATATTAGAAACACTCGTCTAATCATTTCCCCTCATATAGAGCGGTACCGTTTGGCCGACACAAGCAATGCCTCAATTTATTCGATACTTCAGTTATGTTTTGCCGCAAACTATTCCCATAGGTTTGTCATAACTTTGTCATAACTTGTCTTTTGTTAAAAAGTATGTAATTATAATCAATGTCTGCAAACAGAGGCCATGCGTTATATATTATCGCGCGGATGGGACCTCTCGTACGGAATCGTTGCGCTGGGCTTTGGAGTGACCATCGCTTGGATTATATTCTTCCTCAGCGCAGCCGTCATTATTTTCAAATATAAAAAATAGATTTCATTTGATAGAGTTTTTTATATAAATATTACTCTCCACTGTATATCTCATTTTAATAATTTAGCTTTTAATTTTTTTACATTTTAAATCTCATTTCAATTTTAAGATTCTTTATACGAGTTCTCAAAAGTTTTGAATAAAAAAAGTTTGAGTATTTAGTTGTAAAAGTGATTAGTGTCTCACAAATGAATGTTTCACATGAAGTGCTGCTGTTTTGCCAACCGTTTCAGTCTTTGATTCATAAATTTGGGAGTGATTTGTCTGCAATGAAGACTACAATTGAAGTCTTAACGCAATGAATGTGAGAAACATTTGTGAATGAAGTAAGCGATGCATTCATTGAGTCATTGAATGCAATGCAACCCAATCTATACATTGAATGGTTTGGTTAACAACGCTATCGTAGAGTAGAGTTAGTCTCTCATCACAACAGCACTCGTATCCAATACAATGAACTCATAGCCAATGG